TCAGAGCCCTTCAGAAGTCCTTCGAACACTGCGTCCCAATCAGCCTCGACCAAGGTCCAGCCTTCAGCGCGGGCGTGGCGAAGGTCACCGCGACTAACTGCGTCGCTCACGTTGGCTGAGGAAGTGACCCGTTGCCAAGCGGGCCGGAGCCGGATCTCTTCTATGTATCGCCAACTATGCTGGAGCAGTCTGTTGATCGACTCGTCCTTGCCAAAGCCCTTTGACAGAGCGTGGCGAGCTGGTTCGTTGTCCACGAACATGATCACGTGCTGGTCGATGCGATCGTACAGGACGAGCAGCGGCAGGATTTGAGCCACGATTTCAAGCATGTATATGTAGGCTCTGCGGCTTGCGAATTTTCGAACAAACCAGTGAGGAACTCGACCTGCAGCGTAGAAGGTCTGGCCACGGGCAGTGGCTACGAAGCCCCAACCGTTGCGAAGCGTCTCTGGTGGTGTCCTTCCCCACTGTGGTATGTCCTCGTCCGAAGGCCTCCAGTCCTTCTCAAAGAGGTTGAAGAAGGCGTCTGCGTAGATTACGGATCGAGGTTGTGGTCGGAACATCAGCTGTCGTGGCGAGGCGTGATGTGCTCCATCGGATGAGACCAATGCCGTGGCGAAGCTGGTCGTTCAGTCTCCATTCGGCGTTGTCCCGGCCGTGGCCTGTCAGCCTGGCACGAGCGAAGAGTGGCCTCAAAGCTGCTGCGTGAGACTTGCCCATCAGGGCCTGGCAGAAGAACTGAAGCTTCCCGGCCAGGCTCGAAGCCTCGTGCGGTGGTAGTCTGTCGGTAGTGAGGACCGCCACCAGGTCTGCGTCAAGTCGTTGGCGACGCGAAGACGTGCCTTGCACCATGACGTAGTCCGCGTGCACTGAGATGTCCACACCTTGGATGACTTGTGAATGTTCCGGCGGCTGCTCCTTAGACTGCTTAAAAGAAAAACCTAGTGCACGGCAAAGGCGTTTCGAGTATTCGAAGGAGGAGTGTGCGAGCTTGTCATCCTCGCAGCTGCCAAAGTCGTCGACGAAGTGTAGCGCCGGCGTCAACAGGCATGCCCGACAGAGCCATGACATGAGGTCTGCGACGCGGCAATAAGACCATACTGACGCAACTGAAAGACTGTGTGTCTCCACAAAGTAATGCCATGTGGCGTGGGCAGCACTACCCAAGTATGGTCCGGGTCCTCCGCGGCTAGCTGACGGTAGGCGGACTCGTGGTCAAGGCCCCATATCAAAAGCCTTGCAGATGGATCGACCCTTTTGATCGCGACCGCGAGGCGGACATATGTCGAGACATCGTGGTAAGGTGGCGTGTCTGAGACTCCCACTGTCGCGTTTGCAAACGACCGCCTCCAGTCCTCAGCTCTGCGTACCTTCGGCTTGTTGTCGGAACCCACCTGGTGTACTGCGAAGGCGAAGCACGTCGGCTTGTGTGCTTCGGGGCCTGGTAGAAGTCTGCTTGTGTGTGTGTGCGTTGCGAGGGGAACTGCTTTCTTGGGCCAAGAAGTCGGACTCGTGAATGGGCCCTCCATGCGTCCGAGGCGAACGTCCTCTGCAATTTCGTTCGCCAACTGTTCCCAGCACGGGTCAACTCTAGATCTCCGAAGTTTGTCACACACGTAGCGTTCATTCTTGTCGATGAAGTCGTTGAACTCCAACGGGTTGGCGTAGCGGAGGTCGTTGCGTTTGCGCCAACCAAGTCGCGGAGCTATCGGCCCCAGGAGCCGAAAACCTCGAGTGAGCTCGTCGAAGATGTCGGGGTCCTGCCAGCCAAACCTCTCGCTGGTGCGTAGAACCGGCAGCTGTAGCGAGCAGGTCCGTTGTTGGCTGAAGTATGCTTTCTGGACGTGGGGCTTCAGCGAGGCGAACCACTGGCTGGTCACTCCGCTCATGTCGATGACCATCTCTTCGATCTGCTCGACAACTGCGTGTCGTAGGTCTGGTAGGTATGGGCGCATTCGTCTCCAAATTTCCAACCACTGTTCAAGACCAGGCTCTAGGGCGGCGTCGCGGAAGTCGGGATGTGGCATGATGCGCGACCGCGCCCAGTGTTCCGTTGGGTCGTCCAGGTAGGAGAGGTCGAAGTCGTCGTAGTCGCCCGGGCCGGGGCCCATGAGCGGGGGCTTGCCTTGCCACAGCGAAGCCGTGATGTCAATCGCGGTGCCGCCGAGAGGGTTCAGCTCTGCAGAGGGGGTCGGGGCTGTGGCGGCAAAGACAGCCATGGTGAAAATGAGGCGAGCGGCTCCTGCATGCCATCCGTTCGCCAAGGCCTTGTGTCGAGCGTGGTCTCGTAGGTCTCGCGTCCATCCGACCGGCAGATGATGGAATTGTTCCTTGACGGAGGCGGGCGGTAGGACGCATCGGCCTTGTCTGTCCGTCATCATGACCCCCGACTCGTAGTGCCACGGGGCGTACCTCTTCTTATCAGCCATCCAGCGTTGCGTGGCGTCGCTGCTGATCTTCCCTTTGGCACTGCGTGGCGCCGGGCGACCGTTGGGGTCATCGGAGGGCGTAGTCAGACATGGGAGCGGCTTCATCTCCTCGGTTAAGAACGGGGAAGCGTGAGGCCCTGGGTGTCCCACGTCTGTGTGTCATCCTTGGGGACGTCGAAGTGGACTCTGGGTATCCCCTGCATGGAGGTCCAGCGTAGCGAAAGAGGGCAGTCTCTGCGGTGAGCCACTTCGGACCAGGGTATCCGACACCACCAAACCCTCGGTCTGGAGATCGTGCCGAAATCGGCTGAGTCGTGCACAACCGCGGGCGCGTCGAGCAGCTTCTCAATCTTGCGCATGTCGGCGCGGTTCTGGGGGATCACGTTCTCCACGAGGAGGGTGGCTCGGCTGCGGTTCCATGACTTCTCCAGGTTCACGATCAGCTGGGCAAAGCGTGTGAACTTGGAACCCTCGGTACCATCATGTCCCGGTGCGTCTTGTCGTATTCGTGAGAAATCATGACACGGAGGTCCGGCAGGAATGAGTCTAGCTGTTGCACAAGTTTTGACAGCGAGTCCGCGGTCTCTTCCTCAAAGTCGCCGCGGGTCATGACGTCGGGGAAGTGCTTGGCTCCAAGCTTCACGAGGTCCTCGTCGATTTCCCAAGAAGCTCCTCGCCAACTGAGTCCTTTTTCCTTGCAGTGATTGTCGCACACGAGGAAGGCGGCCCCGAGGCCGTCGAAGAAGCTAAGGACCACAAAGTCGATGGCCGCGACCTTCTGGTCCCTCTTCGTGACCTGTTGGTGACTGAGCAGCTTGGCTTGGATGTGCGGTTCGGTAGCTGGGGGCGTAGTGCGGTGTCGTGGCAAAGGTGACCGAGAGCGCGCGAAAGATGGCGAGGCTGGTTCTTTCACATGGTCGGGTCCACCCCCAGGGGATGGCCCGTGCTGTCCCTATTCATGGTCGCGATGCTCGCGGTGTGTAGAGTCGTTGTGGTTCCACGACCTCCACTGACGTTGGTCGGAGTGGCGACCGCGATCGTCATCCCGGCGACGCCACTGATCTCGATCATCTTCGTGCTGTCGGTGATAGCGTTGCTGTCGCCACTGTTGCTGTCCGCGGCCACGTCCGCGTCCCCATCCTTTCCCGTTGCCTTTGCTGGGGCGGTAGGGCTGCCAATCCCTGCCCTGTTGTTGGCCTTTTCCTCCTCGTCCTCCTCGTCGATCTGGCCAGGGCTGCTCGAAGCTCCGTGGTGCCTTCGTGGGTCGTTCCACAGCGACCTCCTTGTTCCTGAAGTGACTGGCTGTCGACCATGATCTCGGAGGCGACGTCGTGGAGTCGTGGAAGGGAGTGCTCTTTCGGAGCGCAAGGGCTATGCGCCACGAGGTGTTTTCCCAGTGTACTTTGAGCTGCTCGATCTTGTTCGGGCGACTGCGCACCAGGCGCTGCCACCACTCGAAGTACTTGTCAAGTTCGTGGTCCGGGGCGTACTCCACGAAGACGAGAGCCATATGGATCGCCTGCAGGCAGTCGAGGGGTGCCGTCTGCGATTGCGGGCGCCATCGGTCCTCGGGCTCGGCCTCCAGTTGTAGGTCGGCGTTGAGGACGAGCGTGGTCACCTCGTTGCTGCGCGAGCGTTTCTTGGCTGTGCTGAGGTTGTTGGGCTCGCCGGAGGCTTTGAAGTGGCGAGTCTGGACGATCTCCTCCAGGGGTATGGCGTTGTGCTGCAGGCTCTTCGCGTCGGATACAATGCGAGCCAAGGTGGCCTCCGCGCCGAGGAGCAGCGTTTCTGGGAATCTCCTTGCTATGCCCTTGATCGTCACGGACTCGAACTTCTTGACTTGTGACTGCCAGTAGCCAGCGGGAAGTTCCTTCTTGGAGGAGGAAGTGGAAGCGGTGCCGCCTGTTGTCGTTGCGGCTGGCGCTGCTGCAGGTGTGGCCGAGGAGGCATCTCGGCACTTCTTCCACACGTGGCGCAGGCGAGCGCGAGTCACCGGAAAATCGGTTGACAGTACCTCCATGATGTTGCCGTCGCTGAGTTTGTAGGGCTTGCGAAGCGGTTCCACCACGGCTTCGTCAAACTCCTGGATCGTCTCCCCTAGCTCTGCGAAGACCCCAACGGAGGAGACGCCAAGGTCCTCGATGTACTTCCGAAGCTCTTCCCCCGCGCCAGCTGCCGAGACGATGGCCTTCAGGGCGGGATCCATCGAGGCTTAGTGGGGGGAAAGCTTGGGCTGATGCAAAAAGGGCTGCGGGCAACTGCGGCGCATGCTTAGCCGATCTAGTTCTGACCGAGGCAGTCCCTGTAGAGTGTCACGTTCTTCTTTTGTCGCAGCGGAGGCTGCGGTGCGCACGGTCACATGACAGCGGAGGCTGTCCCTAGCTGGACGAGGAGCAGCTGGCACTGTCCGTCGACTCGGCCTCCGGGCCTGTCCTGTCAGCCGTCTGCGGCGGAGCGGTTGAGCCTTGAGCCGATTCCGGGAAACATTTCTTGCACAACACGTGCGACCCGTCATCCACTGCCCGGGTAAAGCGTGAGTAGCCATAGGCCCACCCACAGCGGGCCCTCCAACGAATTGGGGGCCGTGTGGCTTCCTCGGCGTCGCGAGCGTGGGCTTTCTTTTTGACAATGAGATCGGGATGCTCTTGATCCTGCTCCAGACGGTCTGCTATGGCATCCAGCTGTCCCATGAGCTTAGAGACTGCGACATCGTTCTGTGCTGCATTCACTCTAAGCTTCTTGGCTGTCGGCGCGGCGTTGTCCGAGGCGGCGCCTGGCTCCTCCGGCACCAAGGTCCACTTTGTGCGGTCGGCGGAGTCGCTCTGTGTCTCGGAGCTCCGGGCTTCTGCGACAGCGGGTTTCTTGGTGCCAATCATGACGATGTCCTCCAACTCGGTGTCCTGTACGTAGCGCTCGATGGCGCGGCTCCCCCATCTGCCTAGCAGCATGATCGTCGACACCGGGACGCGCATGCGGCAGAGGTGCTGTGCCCCTGACACACGTAAGCAATGTCCCCCGAAGCGATTGACCTCCGCTTCGTCAGCTGCTCCGGGGCAACGCAATGCAATGCCCGCTGCGGTAAGGACCTCGTGGGTCATCTCGATGGTCCGGGCTTTGCTGAGCGGCTCGTCCGGGGTGTCGGCGAAGAGGAAGTCGTCAGGGCCGCCTTGGATATCGTCAGCTATGCGAAGCGCTGCGTGGTAAGGGCACAAGGTCTCCGGGACGATACCGCAGTAGCAAGAGTGCTTGCGCTGCACGAGGTGACCCACAGTGTCGGTCTTGCTGGCACCAAGCGTAAGCGTCACTTGTTTCGTCTCCGTGTCGATGACCATGTGTTTGACTCGGAGGCCGGCGAGCTCAATCTCACGACAAAAGAACCATGTACCCAGGACCACCATCCCGTCGGCGAAGGCGGTGTGCCGAGGGACCACCTCGAGATCGATGTCGAGTGCGTCAAGGCGAAAGGCGTCCTTGACAGCTGTGGCCCCCATCCCTCGCTGAATGAACCCCATCCCTCGCTCAATGGAACGGATGGCGTCGCGTATCGCCATCTCCACATGTCGCTGGAACGGGCATGCCAGTGACCTTGATGTGCTCCTTTCGGGCTCGGGAGAAGTACTGTGCCGAGCTCCGATATCCACCGAAGCGGAAGCTGGTCCCGACCAGTTCGATCAGCTCCGGGGTCAGGGGAGTTGGCGCCCTGCCCCATGAAGCGCAGATCTTGGCCCATGTCGCCCAGCGAGCATCAAGAGGGGCCCGAGCGGAAACATTGTCTCGAAAATCCTGCAATGCCCTCTCGGCGTTGGCTGGCTTGGCCGCTGCAAGTGCACGAGAGAGTAGACCCCCTGCCGACGTGCGGATCTGAGGCAGATCGCGCCGTGTCTGTGCCGGTGCTTGCTGGGCGGTCTGTGGTTCCTTGTAGCCAGAGTAAAGCAAAATTGTTTCGATGTAAGAGGCGAGCTCGGGCGAAACCTGGGGCTGGACTTGCGCGGCGTATGCGGCGTGCTGTATGTTCTCGATCAGCTCGTCGCTTAGCATGTTGACCACATCATCGCCCAACCCCGCGTCTGCGCACACGCGAAAGAGGGCATCGAAACATGTGAAGTCGTAGCGCGACATGGCGTTGCGGGCGGCAAACACTAAGCTGCAAAAACTGCC